TTTATCCTATATTTGGATTCTTATATTGATACAAATAAAAGTCCAAAATCAAAGAGGTAAATTGAGGAAACCACTAGAACAAATTGAAATTGTAAGAATTAACCATGGGGGCTTCTGCTGTGCCCGCTGCATGTTATGAAGTAAATGTTGTTAATCCAAGTAGAATATGGCAAACTGGCAATGTTCTACAAACTGAACTCCCTGTTCTTGCCATTCAAATTGTCTTTGTCGTAGTTCTATCTCGTATGTTCTTCTTTGCTTATAAACCCTTTCATCAAACTCTTCTCGTTTCATATATATCTGTAAGTATTTCTGTAAGCATTTATATATAAAAAAACATGTTTGTATGTTTATATGTTTTTTTTGTTGATAATTTGTGGGTGTTACAAATGTAGGTCGGTTTTCTACTAACTCCACCATTACTTGGGAGATATGCAGAAATTTTCACATTTGTTTTTCCTATGACTGGGGTGCTCAATGCTGAAGTTATAGCAAATGTTGGGGTCATATACTATGCATTCCTAAGTGGTTTGGAGATGAACTTGGATACTATTTTACATGTTAATAAGAAAGGTGCAACCATTGCAATTTGCGGGATCGTATTTCCTATGGTGATAGGACCGGCTTTATACACTCTACATCGAAAAGTTTATGCCAATGGCGATGGAGCATTACTTGAAGAAAGTACAATGAATGCTTATCTATTATGGACTTTAGTTCTTACTGTCACTGGCTTTCCTGTTATAGCTCATACCCTTTCTGGGTTGAAGCTTCTTTATACTGGTCTTGGTAAGGCTGCATTAACGGCATCTATGATCAGTGACACATATGCTTGGATTTTATTCACGATATGTGTTCCATTTTCGGTTAATGGTGTAATGGCAATATACTCTGTGTTAAGCACCATACTTTTTGCTATCATTTGCATCTTTGTGGTGCGTCCGATCGTTGTAAAAGTCATTGATCGCAAGACGGAAATGGATGAATGGGATGAAGGCCAATTACTCTATGTGATTATGGGGCTTTTTCTTTGTGCACACATAACAGATGCTCTTGGCACACATGACATTGTCGGGGCTTTTATTTTTGGGTTGATTTTACCTCATGGTAAATTTGCTGACATGGTGGCGTCATACACTGACGATTTTGGCGGCGCAATGTTGGCGCCACAGTACTTTTCTGGCAGTGGAATGAGACTCATGGTGACATCCATCTTCTACCAGCCAAATTGGCCCTATACACTTCTGGTTATATTATTGTTGTGTGTTCCAAAGATTTTAAGCACTTTGTTTGCCACATTCTTTTTTGGCATGGATTCTAAAGATGGTTTTGCTCTAGGAATGCTTCTCAATACAAAGGGTGCCATTGCATTGATAATGCTCAACAGTGCTTGGGATAGATCAGTACTAATCTATTTCGAACTTTTTATTTACTCTATTTTAATTGCTCACAAATCAAAATGATAGCAATTTAATCTATGATTTGTTATATGTGTGATTGCAGATTCTATCGATACCAAGCTATGCTGTTTTAACCTCTGCAGTCCTTTTAATGACTGTAGTGGTGTCTCCCGCCATCAATGCCATATACAAGCCTAGAAAGAGATTCGAGCAGAACAAGCTAAAGACTATACAAAAGCTAAGGCTAGATGCAGAGCTCAGGGTTCTAGCATGTGTTCACAATATTCGCCAGGCCACGGGCGTTATCAGCCTCATTGAAACTTTCAATGCCACTAGAATTTCACCTATACATGTTTTTGCACTTTACCTGGTTGAACTCACAGGACGTGCGGCTACAGTTGTTGCTGCTCATATGGAGAAGCTTAATAGCCAACCTGGAGCACAAAATCTTACAAGAACCCAGATAGAGCAAGAAAACATTAAAAATACCTTTGAAGCATTTGGAGATGCACATGATGCTGTCAGGATTCAAACCTTACATGCTGTGTCAGCCTATGCAACCGTTCACGAGGACATATACAACTCAGCTAATGAAAAGCACACAAGCTTGATTATCCTTCCATTCCACAAACAACTAAATTCAGAAGGTGCTCTTGAAACAACCAATGTCGCTTACAGAGATATAAACCTGAATGTGATGCAAAGTGCACCTTGCTCTGTGGGAATCTATGTTGATCGTGATCTTGGGTCATTACAGAAAACGAACTTTCGCATTCTTATGATTTTTGTTGGAGGTCCTGACGACCGGGAAGCATTAGCTGTTGCATGGAGGATGGCGGGCCACCCAGGAACCCGATTATCAGTGGTTCGGATGCTCCTGTTTGATGAAGCTGCAGAAGTAGACACCTCAAGTCATGCTGAAGCACATGGCATACTATTTGTTGTAATGGATAGTGAGAAACAGAAAGAGTTGGATGATGAGTGTGTGAATTCATTTAGACTGACAGCGGTAAATAACAATGATTCTATAACCTATTCAGAGGTTGATGTCCATTCAGGTGAAGATATTCCCACAGTCCTCAATGAGCTAGACAAATTTGGTTGCGATTTATACATAGTTGGACAAGGGAATCGTAGGAGCTCTCGGGTCTTTTCAAGTTTACTAGACTGGTCCGACTGTACAGAACTTGGAGTTATAGGAGATATTTTGGCATCACAAAATTTTGGTTCGGACTCATCTGTGCTAGTTGTGCAACAATATGGGTATGGAGGAATGGTTTTGGGAAAGCAATCCAACAACGTGACCACTAACAGCGATGGTTTTAAGTCACTTGTCGTGAAAACAGAATAAGAATAATGGTTGGTGAAGAACTGACCTGCACAACGTGAAAGGCTTGCTTACAAAATTCAAGCAAGTTTGAGATGATACTAAATTTTGTTCTGTATTTAGATTTGGTACCCCGAGAGTTGATTAGAGGATGCTTCCACTGTTCCATTTTGGTTGCCTACAATGGTACACATTTGTATCTAATAACATGAAAAGAAAAGTAATCATGTCTGTTTGGAAAAAGATTGTTTTAGTGGTAAGGTTCTCTCTCCACTGAGAATGCAATGTGTATAAAAATCTATATGAATCATTGCCTCAGAATTCTGTGTCAATCTAAAGGTCACAATTACCATATTGTAATCACATTTTGATTCGATAAATAAAATTGACTTGCTCAATCATATATGTCAAGAGGACTAGTTTTTTTTTTTTTTTTTAAATAAATTTTGCCGTGCTCAAACCTGTGAGCAGTGGGTAGTATGGTTTTATCAAACAATCAAAATTAAACTCAAGAATCTTTCGTTTTTAAACCATTTTCACATGAAAAATACAACATTAGTATACTTCAAATAGCATGAAAAAGTGAAGAACAACATCATTGGAACAGAAGATAATAATTCTAGGTGATAATTGTTTTTAGATATATTTACACTTTCTTCTTCATATTGATGATTCAGTCAAGAGGCTTTCTTTCTTAGTAAGCCATGCACATTGAGCTCATTGATCTTAGCAGCAAGTATGAAGTCATTCTCTGTCAGCCCGCCTACATGAACATGGATCACTTCAAATGATGTTCTATTGTGGATATAATATGTACTCCCGCCATTCTCATATATAAGCAAAAAAGTAACCAAAAAAGAACAAGTGCTCAGTAGAAAAACAAGAAAAATAACATTAAACGGAAATTCTGGGAAGAAGTTAACACACAAAAATGGAAGGATTGTTCAAGCCTGAATAAGCCGGAAAATGACCATTAATCATGAATGGTTAATCTATTTTAATCAAATGTAGTAGATAGTACTACTACTATTATCAACGCAATTAACTTTAATACAGAGCTATTCAATATTTTTAAAGATAAGCTGATATAAACTGGATGAAAACGCTCTAAGTAGGGTATAGTATACACGCTACTATTCTTCAAATAATATTGTGGTAGATTTACAAGTAATGATAAAGTCTGAAAATGAAAAAGGTAACAGAGAGTATTCAATAGACCCTTCACCATACCTTACTATTCTCTACTTATTTTCCTCCTCTATCTTTTCCTCATCTCCTTTCTAATACCTACATGGATTAGTTTTATCTCCTGACACACTCTTTCATTTCCTTACATAAATAACTCAACTTCCATTGATTGTATGACATGCAACCTGATAAATCAGTTTATTCGGTTCTCCTTAATTTCCTCTCTGAGGTTTCCTAATGCATATGTTGGTAAAAGGTGGTTTTGTAACATAATCATATACGTATACACAACAAGCAAGCCTTACCCCCTAACTCCCTAAGTGAGGTTGGCTACATATGAATCAAGCGACACCATAATGTTCTACCATATAACATATCTCTAGCATAATCATATATGTATATAAGCTACAAAAATTGAAATTACAATAGCTATGGTATGAAGCAACAAAATGTATCATAGCTTGAATGAAAAGCGTATCAATCTTCCCAAATCCATAGACATTCTTTATAAAATCCATAGCACACAATATACCTCTTAGGTTTTCCAAGACAAGAAAAATAGTGAAATCAAAACCCCTAAGTACTTTTTTTTTGTCTTTAAGTATTCACGGTAAATATATTGTATAGCGGCGTTAATTGAACGGATGGAATAATGGATACATATCTATAAATAGAAAATCAATCTTCATATATTTTATTTTCAAAGAGGAACATAAGATTAAATAATTTGAATAAATAATGCATACCAACAGAATGAGTCCAAATCTCTATAGTAACATTATTCCAGCCAACAAGGTGAAGATCAGGATGATGACCTGCATTATAGTAACATTTTCTGCTGTAATATCAAATCAATAATACTTAAATAAATAAATAAATAAAATACCTTGAGCTTCAGCAAGATCAGCTATAATTCTGAAAAATTCCAATCCTTTGTTAAAAGATTTAACTTTCCATGACCTACTCAGTTTCAAAGAACCGCCTTCATTTACCAAATTCCACTCGGAAACCTGATAATGTCAAAATTGAATAACAGAAAATATTGAAAATGATTGAAATAACCAAAAAAAAGTTATAATAAGAACCTGAGGAATGAGAGAATGCGCTGCATCTTCTGTCATAGGTTTCAATTCCTTCGAATTGCACGGAACGCATGTTTTCGTCGATAGATCTAAATCTAAAAAAATCAAATTAAATGAAAATTTGAAGTGTTGTGATTAGTGTAAGAAAGAAAAAGCGAAAGATGAAGTTAGAGGTAGACGCGTTCACCGTTGGAAGCTTTGGTGGAAGTGGAAAATGATGAAAGTGGGAGTTGATTGCTGTGATGCATGTTGGAATGGATTAATCTGAAATGGAATTAGGTAAGAGTGAGGATGATGATGATGAAGATGATGAATGGAAAGTGGAGAAAGAGAGAATTGGAAGAAATGAATTACCGTGTTGATGGAAGTGTGGCGGAGAGTGGAAGTAGAGGGTGGCGAAGGTTGAGGAGGACTCTGTTCATTGCATTCAACATGCGCATTTTTGGTGTCACAATTTTCAATCAAATTATCTTAGTAGTAATATTCTTTGAAGTTAATTTTTTCAAAAATATCTATTGGTAATTTGGTATGATTTAAGAATGCATGGGGATATCATAGATAAGTACTAAAAGGTAAGTGATTAATTTTTTAAATTGATATTTGTGGTAAATCAAATGAAAACTTATGGTGAGTCCATTTATAATCAACAAATAATTGAAAAGGTGATGAGATCTTTAAGTGAGTTTGATTTTTAAAGTGGTGGCAAATTAGGAATTCAAAGATGTAAAAACACATGAAGGTTAAGGAATTGTAGAGCTTTCTAGAAGTTTATGAGCTCATAGTGATTGATAGAGGAATTGAGAAGTTAGATGAAATAGCCTAGCTCAAGTGATGAAGATAAATAGTCTTAAAAAGGAGCTCAAGAAGAAAGACAAAAGAAGTTTCAAAAGTGAAAGTTGACCAATGTCATAATATCAACAAAAAAAAAAGTCACCTTGCAACATAAAATATAAGTGACAATGTCGTTAAAAGAGAGAATGACAAAAATGTGGTCATATAAAATGTACTTTATGTATCTGGTATGATGTGAAATTCGATGTGCATTGAGCAATTGGTTGAGAGCGGATTCTCTATTACCATGAATGGTAACTAACTGCAACTTTTTGGTCTTCAAAATAAGATAGTACTAATGTCATATTGTCAAATAACGAGACATTCAAATGTAGCATTCATATTGCAAATGAGTTGTATTAATCAAGCACCATTTATGATGAACTTGAGTGGCTTTGACATATAAAGTATGGTCAGTTGAATTTTAGAAGTCTTAGTGAATTAAACCTAGTATCTAGCCTACTTTAACTAAATGCAAACTAGACGTTATGTGAATCGTGTTTAAGAGGGAAAAAAAGCAGATCGTCCTTTACATCATACATGCCAAAAAAGTTAAACGGTGCATTAAAAGTTGCTCAATCCAATATATGTGGACCATTTGAAGTACCATAACTAGGTGTGAGTACACATTTCATTACTTTTATGACGAGCATACAAGAATGTTGTGGTTGTATACCATCAGGCTCAAGACTGAGACTTTTCAAATGTTCAAGAAAATTAAAACCTTAACTGAGAAGGAGAATGAAAAACACAAAAAGGTATTGAGAATTGATGTTGGTGCATGTTAAAACAAGATTTTTTCATACCCTTAAAAGGTTTTGATGATAACACAGTATTTAAAGAATAATAAGGTTTACTAATGGTTGTTAAAGTGTGCAATTAAAAGATATTAAATTTGATATAAATCAAGTTAATCACTTAGAAGAATCATTAAAGAGAAGCAAAGCTGTTTTGAATCTGAAGGATCAGAACCAAGCCTTCAAACTCTAAAAAGTCAACTCAAATCTTTCATATGTTGAACCTAAGCTTACTTGAAATACAAATATGAACAAAGATATGAAGATTGAAGTCGTTTGAAACAAGTAGACTCTATTATAAGAAACGACTCTGCATCTTCTGAACACACTTCAACAGGAGTTCTGAAGATTCTGCTTCAAAGGGACTTTGTATGTATCAAGTCAACAACTCTAAAAGTGTTCATCCATATTAGTTTTAATCAAGACTCTGATAAAGGTAAGCTTAGAACATGTGATCTCAAAACTCTGAAGTCTCATTTCAACTAGGTTTTGAAGGCATACTTTAACTTCTGATCATGCTTTAACTAATTATATAATAAGTTTCTGACTTAGTAAGTTAAGTATAAAGATAACAATGACTCAGAACGAGCTTCAATAAATGTCTACAAGAAGTCTCCGGTCAGAAGTTATCTAAAGAAAATCATGTGACAATGGTACACTACTTTATATCTAATAAGCAAAAAGTAATGTTGTCAGGATCTTATCTATCCAGCTGTTCTGAACTCTGCTCTGCTCCTCTTAACATCTTTATGCTAGCTGAGTTTATAGCTCACTTTACATGCTCTAGATATAGATCTTCAACGAATACTTGTACCATGGATAGTTTCAATCTTCAACATATATATTCTCAGCATCTATATAAGAAGAAGATTGAAAACATTCAAACTAGTGAATGAATTGGGGTTGAAGAATACGCGATTGTGTTCACAAGATTGTGATACCAGTTCACAAAAATGGGTTGAGAGAAAGAGATTGTGTACACAAAACATACAGGTGAGAGAAACACACTTAAAAAGAAATATAACCAGAAAGTGTGTGAGAGTAGAGTGAGACATATTCACATATGACTTGAAGAAATAATATATGGATATGATCAAGAAGATCAACAGAACGACACAACAAAGAAGAAAATTTGTGCAAGAAGAGAAGAAGAGTGAAAATTTTATTCTTCTACACTTAGGAGCAATCAATTTGTATTATACTCAAGAGTGTAAAACCTTTGTGTATCTGCTTAACTAAGAAGGATACATATAAACACAATGTTAATACCAGACTCTTTGTCAAGAGAATCTGAGACTCTAGCCTTTGTGCTCAGAGTAACTCTCGGTCAGTGTGATTGAGCATTGAAGTCTCATGCTTGAGAGCATACCAAGGAAGTCTCGATCAGTGTAATTGAGCATTAAAGTCTCATGCTCGAGGGTAGAGCAGGAAGTCTCGATCTGGTATGATTGAGCAAGAAGTCTCTTTCCGTGGGATTGAGCAGGAAGTCCTAAATAGGTTGTTTAGGCAAGGAAGTATCTTGCTTGAGGGCTTGATCAAAAGTCTCTTTCTAGTTTGATTGAGCAAATTGTAATCTGTTGATTATAGTGAAAATATCTTGTGCTGCAAGGGGACTAAACTAATTTTGGGTTGAGAGAAACCATGATACATTGTATGTCTTTTTATTTACTTCTGCTTTTACATTCCGCTGTGCAAACAAACTTTGAAGTTAGACTCTGATCTGATTCAGCCTCTTAATTGGATCATAATCTGACCTTGACATCTTAGGTTCTGAAACAAACTTTAAAAAAAGAAGTAAACTTTATTTTTTACATAATTCAACACCCCCCCTTCTTGTGTATATTTTTCTCATCATCGGTGCATAGTACACAGGAAAATAGTTTGAGTCTTTTTGTACCAATCGAGGCATATCACACGAAGTCACCTCACTATATACTATTCAACACAATGGTTTGGTAGAAATAAGAAACAAAATCATAACTAATATAACTAGAAGTACGGTAAAACATAAGAACATGCATCATAAAGTTATGCGGGAATGCAATCAACACAAATAATTGTATCCTAAATAAGTGTTCAACCAATAAGTTGGAGATAAAAGTGCCTAGGAAGCTTGGAGTCGAATAAGACCAAGTCTAAAGCATCTAAAAGTATTTAGTTCACTATGTTCCAAACACACACTTGATCAAAGAAACAATAAGTTGGATGACAAAAAGTGAAAGCACGTTGTTCATATGATATCACTCAACAGGAGCCTATAAGTTGTGTAATCCTATGTCTCAAAAGGTGCACATCAACAAATATGTGATTGTTGATGAATCACAAACATATAATTGGTAGGATACATCGAAGAAAATAAGTAATCTCAATCACAATTTCCTTGAACTTTGACAAAGTGAATATTCAGATGAAGAAAGTCATGTTGAAGGTACTTAACTAGCTAATTATGGAACAAGAGAAGATCAAACACATGTGAGGCCAAAGAGAACAAGCCAAGTCCCTATTAGTCTTGTAATTAAGCTATTACCTGATAATGCATTTAGTAATGAAGGTGAACTCAATTAGTTTTCTCAGTTAAATGATGTTGAGCCAATCAACTATGATGAGACAATGAAGAGTAAGTTATGGAGGAAGGCTATGATTGAATAACTAAAATCAATTAAAAATAATTATTCCAGTGAGTTGGTTAATCCATCTGAAATGAAGACAAATATTGATGTGGAATGGGTCTTTAAGGTAAAAATGAATCCATATGGTATAATTTCAAAACATAAGGCAAGGTTAGTGGTTAAAGGCTTCTTGCATGTATATTGCATTGACTATAATGAAGTTTTATTCATGTGACAATACTTGAGACAATGAGACTAGTCAGGGCAATAACTATTAGTAGGATTGATTCCTCTATCACTTATGTGTCAAGTCTGTATTCCCAAAAGGTTCATTAGAAGACATAATTTTTATCACTTAACCGACACAATTTTATGTGAAAGGCAAGGAGCACGTGGTGTATAAGTTGCACAAATATTTTTATGGACTAAAGAAAGCCCATAGATCTTGGAACAAAAAAATTGACCGATATTTTATCCAACTAGGATTTAAAAATGCGCAATTAGGTATGGTGTCTATGTGTAAAGTTCCAAAAACTCAAGTAACACAATGATATGTTTGTATGTGGATGACTTGCTCATTAGTGGTCATCATTCATCTACGATTGATAATCTAAAGGGTAAAATGAAGGTTGAGTTTGTGATGTCTGATTTAGGTAAGCTCACACACTTCCTTGGCATGTAATTTGTGAAAATCAAGGAAGGCATGAAAATGCATCAACATAAGTATGTGAGGGAGTTATTGAGCATATTTGAAATGAATGATTGCAACACAATCACGAATTCATGTGAAATAAATGCAAAATCTTGATGAATGTCGTGATGAAGAAAGAGTGAATGCAATCATGTACTCCCTCTGTCCCATAATAAGTGGTCCATTTGAAATAAAAAAGTGTCCTAAAATGAATGACCTGTTTCAATTTCCAATGCATCTTTTACAATTTTACCCTTTAATTAATATTACTTTCATCATTCCCAATACATGTATTTTAGTAAAACTATCATTCTCGCTATTTCAATTATTCTTTTTTCTTAATCTGCGTGAAATGGTCAACCGGGTCATCATTGTGGGACGGAGGTAGTATAAGCAACCTGTAGACTTATTGAGGTACTTACGCAGTAGCATACCTGAAATATGCTATACAATGAGCATAACCAACAAACTTATGAATGTGCCCATGAAATCTCATCTACTGGCTAGAAAGA